AAAACCACCCCTGAGCTGCTCCGGGTCCCCCCCTGCCACTGAACTCCCCATGCTTGTTTCGAGGACCTTTGATGATTTGTATTTAAAAGTCATTAGAAATGATAAAAGCTTCTTGAAGCAAAAGTTTGGCTTAGTGCAATGAGTCCGAAGAGCTCGTGAGCTCTCTGCAGCCAGGCCCCAGAGAAAACCCTGAGCCAAGGATTCATCTTCCCCCCACCTTTGGAAACCAATTGAATACTATTGCCATAGCCAAACATCAGTTCAGTAGTTAACAAAGCAGTTCTGCTTGCGCAGCCCCTTAGCAAAGCCGCTAGCTTCAGAAACCCCCTAGCTTGGTTGTAGGGAAGGTGTTTTGCCACCATCCTGTTTTGTGCCAGGAGCCTGTTCTTTCCTATCCCCCCTGCCACAGACTCTTCTTCAGCTCTGTCCCACTATTGTGCCAAACTGTCACATAAGACACAATCCTCAAGCCTACATTTGTACCTGTCTTGGTGGTGCCACCCGGTGGGAAGGGAAAGAAGCCTTTCCGGGGAAAAAAAAAAAAAAAAAAAGGAAAAAAAGAGAGAGATAAGGAGGGTTCTGGCTTCATATAAATGCTCCATTGTCTTTGCATCAGCCTGGCTCTGTCCAGCTAGACAGACTCTACTCGCCTTCCCTGCACAAGATAAGCAGCACAGTATTGATTTCATCTCCGGGACATCAGCCAAAGCTGCAGAGAAAGAAACAGCAGCGAGAAAGGTTGTGACAACACAGGAAACCCGTGGAAAAGCGCCCTTATCCCAAAGGCTTTGGATTGTGCTGGTGGTTACATTCCTAGGAAGAAGAGGGTGCTACAGCACCACTCATGCCCAGCAGAAAATTATACTACCAGCTGATGAACAGGCAGCAACTACCCCATGCAACCAAAGGGTATCAAACTTTATTATAGATCTCTTTAAAACAGGCTGGAAGGAACAAACAAAAATGTCATTGCAATGCAGTGACTGAGTCATTCATTTCAGATGCAGACACCAATCAATCCCCAGCTCTCCCAAACTATTTATATATAATATATCTCACCCTCCCCCCAAACCGCTCCAATTAAATGATCTCATTTCAGATCACCCTAAGTGTCTTAACATTAGCTGCTTCTAAACACCAAGACGCACATGTTTTCTGGCAAATTGGATGCAGTATTTTTCATGGTTTAGTTCCTCAATCTCTGGAAAGGAGGAAGAAAAAACAAAATCAGGAAAATCGCTTCTTTAAGGTCGTCTTTTTACAGCAAGGACAGATTCTGCAGATTTCCCCCCCAAAGCAAGTCTGAAACCCTCTTGTTCAGCTTGGCAATACGATGAGACATTCTGGTGGTTAAGGAGAACCAGCCAGACGAGATCAGTCTGAAGAAACTGATTTCGAGGCTTTATTTTCATTTCCCTTTGGGGCCAGTTTCGAGTGGTTTTCCAATGTCTTTCCCACGCAGCTTAAGACCTGGAATAAGACAGAAAAGACACGGTTCACCATCCGCTCTATCACTCAATAGCTTTCCAAAAAAAAAAAAAGACAGTAAGGGGCAAAATTTAGGAAGAATCCTACACTGGTTTATAGGATCAGACTAGTTACAGAGAAAGATTCAGTTCTTCCTTGTGCATTGACTATGTTCCTAGAAAATAATATGTGGACAAGCCCAGGATAGCCATGTAAACACTACTGTTTGCTTTGCTGAGTTCACATGAATCCTTCAAGACTCTCAGCACATTGCTGATCTTTGTGGGGGCTGTACAAAGGAGATCCCCGGGGCACTATCCCATATAGAAAGATGAAGGGAAAAAAGGAAAAAGAAAAAAGAAAAAAAAAAAGAGAGAGAGCTTTGAGTTGTTTCAGTCAGCATATCCACGTATTATCAAAACACAGACTAATGACACCCCACCCATAACAACCTACAGTCAGCAACTGCTCCTGCCACAGCAAGTGTACATAACTAACACCAAAATAGCCTTCCTAACACTGAAGACATTTTTGTTATTTTTGAAGTTCACTTTCCAAACTTACCGATGGCTCTTTCAATCTTGCCCATAACCTGGTTATTGGGGATTGCTCTTCCTGATTCGTAGTCAGCAATAACTTGTGGTTTTTCGTTGATTTTCTAAAAATAATAATAAAGATGCCTCAAACACTGGCACAACAAAAGAAGTAAACATTCAGAGCCACGTGCCCAAAACTGCAGTGCATTAATAAGTGACAACCATGCCAGGACTGGAAGAGGCAGCACGACACGTGGGCAGAGCCCAGCACCACCGGGCCCTCCTGTGTTCAAGTGCCAGGGCTGGTGCCACCCGTCACACACAGACCCGTACTTCTCCCAGGAGGAACAACGACACTAAATGCTACAGTTCATTAATACAGCAACGAGCTGCTGAACGCAGCTTCAGACATAATCGGAACAAATAAACTTGTGTCAATGCTAAGCTGATGGGATAAAAAGATTAAGCTGAGGAGAAAAAAAAAAGAAAAGAAAGAAAAAAGCCTCCCAGCAGCTCCGCGGCCGTAACACCGCTCATGTGCTTTGCACATGTACAAAGGTTGCACAGATAAATCTCGGAGCTATTTCGTAGGTTACTAATTTTGCCCAGGGATCTGGCAAAGACATCCCCTTCACCAAATTTCCAACCCATGATACGACGTCACCGCAGCCATCCAGGGAGAAACAGAAAGAAAAAGAAACCCCCCAAGAGAAGCGCCCATGAGGCCCCGCCAGAGGTGCCTGGGCCCTCCGCGAGGGAGCTGAAGGAGCCGAGAAGCCCCCGGCAGCCCTCACCGTGGCCAGGTCCTTCTGCGTCATGCCCTTGCTCTGCCGGCCCTGCTGGATGACCTTGCCCACCTCCAGGGGCACCCTGTCGTGGTGCAGCTCCTCCGTCTCGCGGTCGAGCTTCGCTGTGTTCTTCGTGATGAAGTGTTG